GTGCGAAAAGACGGTATGCAGACCAAGTGTATTTCTAACACTGGAGTTATGATCATGGTTTCTTTATCGACCCATGCAAAGCAGTACAGAGGAGCCAGGAGACAGGGCGTACGGTTTTTCGTCCTTATCCATGAGAACTAGAATATCTAACCGTTAGCAGATGTCATAGCTAAGGCAGCACATTTTCCTTCATCATTTAAAGACCCGGAGGGTTGGTTCGGTCTGGGGTGTGTGAATCCTTTACTTCCCACATAGCAGTTTGGCGCTCTACAACATGAACTAACCAGTTAATGATACTTACGAGTTTTAACCAAAATATGTTGTAAGCAGTGTCCTACATTGTTCATTTTCATAGAGGTTCCACAGCTTATAGTACAACAGAGAGTAGACCCGGCCTATGATGGTGGTAAACCGGTCTGGAGCAAGCCTGCAGTCGTTTATGCCAGCGGTTCTGTGGCGTCCATTGGTGTGATTATTTTAGGACTCCGTAAGCTGCATCTCTATGTTACAGTATTTTAACTCACGTTCTCTTGAGTGTTCCCTACGAAGTGCTGCGAATCTCTTTGATAAAATAGCTAAATGTTTATCAGTACAATTAGTAATGGTAAAAAGACTGAGTGGAGTCCAGTTCAGTCTAAAATCCTACGAGTAATTGGCAAAATCAAACGACGATGAAGCGGGAGTCCGATTTATTAAGTACAGGTATGGATACAGGTAGAATTGGACGACAAGAAGTCCTATTACCAATTAATCAAAAGTATGAAAAAATTTGAGAAAGAAACCAGCTAACGGCTATACATTTTCATGGGGTGCACAGGACGCGCTCTGTCTAATTATACAGGCGTGATCTGTCCCTGGATTAATTTCTACGTTCAATTACAGGCGTGACGCCAACACTTTCCTATCAGAACTCAGTGACCAGTCCCGTTTGAGAATTTTGCTATTGTTTTTATCAACTAATGACTTCTGTAATGAAGTAAACGTTTGTAGTGTCTCGGTTATTTTAATTATAAAAAATAGACTCATCAGATTCTTTTCTTATCCGGCGATCGATATCAAACTGATGCATCAAACTTCCATGTCTAATCCCTAAAAAATTCCCATTTCGTTCTTAATCGATAACTTTTTCTTCTTTCGCTTCTCTCTCAACCGGCCTTAAAAATAAAAAACCCAGCATACTACACAGCAATGGAACCGAGAAGCTACAGTGGAGACCGTTTATGGAGCCAACGGTTTTTAGGATACATCAAGAACGACAACCGAGTAATTTATTATTGTTCGAAACTTGCGCAACGGAAAGGCTATGATCACTTCGTTAAGAGCGTCGACAAGTGCTTCTCGTCGTATGCGATGCCTGGAAATGTATGGAAAGTGCCTGATGATTTTAAGGATTATTCCCCAACCAATCATCGAGAATTCGTTAAACCATTTTTCATCAGGGCTATGAGTAAGTCTTTATGTTTGTCTTATTACCTCCATATCAAGCTAGCTATATAGGTTAATCTTAGTAGTTTTCAAATGAATACTAACGCAATGGTAGTGTATTCAGAGACTCACGAGTAAATATTATCTCTTTGGTACCACGTGACGGTACTGCTCCATGGTTCTAGTTTTTCAAATTTCCTCAATGGAATGACAAGGTAGGAACAATCTGTGTAGCATGATAAACAGTTCAATATGAAAGTGCTGCTCGCTAGCTTACGCTTGAATTGAATGAAACTGAAAACTTGGAACCACCTCGTTCAGCACGATAAATAGTAGAGAGAATTAGCAATGCGTTCACGTGGAATGGCAAACGTCAGCTTACCATTTCACGTTCCACGTGAAATAGCGCGAATTTTGCTGTTTTAGCGTCGCGTGAGCTCACATCACAGTGGATTTGAAGGCACTCCTGTATGACTTAAAGGAAGGACTCGAAGAAATGGTTTTGTGCCCTTTTTTCCGGCAATTAACTTTTACTCTGTGAGAGAAAAAGTAAAGAAA